AAAACTATCTAAAAAATTACTCTATAGTCTTCCCCACAGTAATGATCTGATTTCTGATCCTGGGACTCTTTATCTTCTGCTACTTTTTACGCACAAACAGGTGAGTTTTTCACAACATGCTCGTTTGCTTCTCAACATGACACCCCATCGGCTCTTTCACGAGTGTCGCTCACGGAAACTTCATGTGCCATACGAGTAAACTTTAGATTATGCCTAATAGTTTTACATGTCATACAGCGCGGACTCGATTTAAAAGAACATGTTGATAACGATGGCGATGAACAGCGCTCTCAACTGAGTGGCGTACGGTGATATCTAGCATCCAAAGTCGAATCCATGTCACCCTTGCCGATTTGTGATCCGAGTCATTCTCACGAAATTCTGATAGACGTTGTAGGGGCCAGCTCGTGTGTGGCATCCGTTGGCGGTCGTTTAGCATTGTCAGTTATTCCGCCTAAGCCTGCCTCCGGTAGCCTGGTCAATGCCTTGCCACCAGAGGCCCGGTGAGAGACGGAATAGCCAGTGTGGTTGGTGCTGTGCAAGACTGCCTCGCAAGTCATCATCCGGCATCCACTTCTTGGGACACGTAGTGAACGCCGTCATCCGTGACAGTCGAGCTGTCGTTCGGTAAGATAATACTTCTCTCAACATCAGACCCATCGGGTAACCCCTGCAGCTGAGCAGTTCGCATATCCTTTTCTCGGAGTGCCTGTTCTCTTTCATTAAGGCCAAAAAACATAATTCCAAACTGGCAGGTTACAAGGAAACTTTGACAAAGAAACCCAAGAACTGTCTGCTAAAAATGCGAATCTGTTCGTAACAAGTTGCCGATATTGTGCAATAAGCCTGACACTTTTTAAACAGGTAGTCGAGAATTTCTGTCCGGTTGTCTTTTCTGAACAGTTTTATTGAGAAATTTGAGGATGTGTGACAGGGCTTTCGTTATTTCTCACATTCGCACCGAGGGAGGAGTGCAACCGTTGTGTTTTTGCGGCTCTCCTTAAAGCCAGGTGCTTGAATGATGCGCTGATGCTAAGGGGTTGAGTGAGCAAAACATCATCAGTTGAAATCTCCGGGTTAGTTAAGGCGGTTTGAACTTAACCATGGGGAAGCAGCTCTTACGTTCCCAAGTTCCGACCAAAAAATCCCACAAGTCACCACCCCCGATGGTTGCGTTTCATTTGTGGATTTCAGTCGCCTGATCTGTCAAAAATCCGGTCTTAAATTGAATTATCACATCCTTGGTACTGTGTCCATAGAGTCAGTATTGGCTGAATAGGGAGAAAGTAAATGCGGTAACTCAGTGATGCCGAGATTCAAATGACTGCTAACAAGTGATGATGGAGACCAATCATATTTCGACAACTAGCACGGGGCCAGAAGCCTTTCAGGCGGTTACAGGGCGCCGAAGACAAAGCAGCCGAAAACTGATGATTGTGCCGATATTTGGGCGCCAGTAAAGTACCTACTCGGAAGGTAAAAGCCTGTTGTTCTATTGCGATCGTGGAAGTATTTTACGTGTTCCAGCCGCCAAAGTCGAAATACCCGGCGTCAGTAGGTTGGGTAGAGAAGAAATACCAGTAGATGAGTTTTATTCTATGCAGCATTGTCAAAACAGCCGCCGCCCGCCAATGACGTGCGTTAATCAGCCCAAGCAGGACGCGAATGACAATCACTTGAAAGTGCATACTACCACCAGTAGGAGACAATCGACGGGCCGATTGACTGACTTTTGCGCCTGACTGGGTTAGACTGAAGTATAACCACTTGCCCCTCCCCCTCAAAACAACTCCACTCTCTGATACCACTGGACGAATCCAGTGGACCCGGGAATCCACGACACTACTACAACGTCATTGTTCAAACTTGTTTCTAGTGTCCTCCAGAACGGTATCAGCTGAACCAACCTTTGATAGTGCCATCCCATTGTTAAGCGCACATCTGTAAACTGCCCTTCTTACTGAACTTTGCTCGTACAGCCATACGTCCTCGTGCCTACGTATAGTTTATATCATAAGAGTTAAATCCTTATTTTGCTGCCGCACAAAGTTACCACGGCTTTAAAGTGGGTGCTTCCATTAAGTATACTTTTACATACATCATTGGCGAGATGGATAGCCAAACGTCGGCTAAACCACTATAGACTAAGGAAATGAATACGGCGAACATGCTTTCGAAAGTCTCATTTCCCAATGCACAGGTCTAACCAACGGAAACAAGTTGCAATCAGATAAGCTCATGTCCCGGAGGAGAGTTTTAGTTATATCTCAGTCGTACTCCTGACTTATTTTTTAATGATACTGTGGATGCAAGCTGTAGGCAGAAGTGTGGCCTAGGACTACGGCCTACATCCTCCTACGGACACCGAAAGGTCTAATAAGTTTACAAGTGAGCAAGAGTCGAGGCAGATTGAGTAGTAAATCAGTTGTGGAGGAGCTGTTCGAGCCAACGCCGAGGGCTTGTGCAGGGGCCTGCTCTAAGACACACGCAAGACAGCAGATGAAATGTGTCGGCCTGTTGTCACTAACGTATGTCGGCCAGTTGACGCGTTGATGATAACATGCCTTCCGCACCGCAACGCATCGGTCGCTTATTCTATGTCATCGTCGTCTGGATAGAGCGCACAGCGTGTCGGACGCCGGAGATTCATTTGTATATGCAAGTAAGTGCGTTACATGCCTGAAAATGGGTCACCGATGCTTACCCAGGTTGATGGGAAGAGATGCATCAGAACAAAGGTAGTGTATCATGATCCTGTCATGGTTGGAGGACTAACTGCACCAGTGGGTAAAGGGTAAGACTTTGGAAAGGAGGTGCGTCCTGAGGGCAGCCTCCATCTCAGTCCGCGACAAGGTGTTGACGGCCGCGTTTCCCATTCCGTGGCAAAAGAAAACTGGGGCAGCATGCCTAGATGATGAGCAATGTGATGATAATACTGGACTGTTTCTCGTTCGCGTCGCGTCAGAGTTGCCACTTTTTCCGCGGTTTGAAACGTGTGTTGGATTGGTAATCCTTATTCCGACGTCATCAAAAACTCTCGAGAAGCTAAACTGAGTTCGGCCGTATCGCGATTTATGTTAGGACTTCATGGAAGCTTAAATGAGAAAAACGAAACGCTTTACGTAATAAGCTCATCATAGGGCATAAGAGACCTATAGATTCAATAGTTTCGGTTGCAAATGATATGTCCGGACATGGCCTGACGATTTGCAGGATTCATATCAGGTACGTGAAAAATTAATTCTACGTCAGTTGCTGCAGTGTGGGCCAAGACTAACGGACGTTTATAAAAACGTTTCGATATGAAAGATATCAATTAGGCAGTGTTTCAAAGATAGTCAGCTCAAATGACAACCCCAGACAGAGTGAAAACATTGACTTATAAATGAGCTCATTTTCGTTCGCATTTGCAGATTGAGCTCCGAAATAAGGTGCGCGGTTAGTGCGCATTTTTGAATAAATGTTCAATACCTGAACAAATTTTGTCCCATTTCCTAGAATGAATGCCCATACCCCATTCCGTGCTTACTTGTGTTGTCTTCAAATTTTTTGCCTAACGATAGCTTACTGGATTTTGAAACTCTAAAAATTCTTACATGTACCGGCTTCCTGTAACTCGGTTTACCTCAGACCGATTAAGTGCCCCTCCAAATCGTCTGGAGGTACAATGGGAAACTCCCTTCGCTTTGCTGTTCTTGGAATATTCCCTGGCGTACTGCGTGCATTGGCCATTTCTTCTTGGCTTATCCTTCTGACGTACCACGTGTGCGATTGTAGACCTCAACAAGCAGATTTTGCGAGCCAATTTATGCTCACTAGTTCTGGAATGCTAACTTTATACGTTGTCCAAGTGGTCAAGTCCGCCAGCCGATCGTTTTAGCTGCCTTTAGCTCCCAAGCTATCTTATTGGACTACATGTCTCCACAGTCGTTGGGTTTTCGCTGGAGTGGTCACCTAACACCGTGCCCTGCCTTGCTACTTTAAGGGCCATGCAACCCATTTGACTGAGCTCCTGACTAGTAGAAAGTGTCCCTCTATACCCCGTACCGTAAGCCTTGTCTCACTGAATTCCAACTTGAGATAACCACTGGCCCAGTTATATAGTGGAGTTTATTCGCGGTGTTGTATACGACCGTTTCTGTTCTCAAACACTTGACCATAGAGGTAGTCAACATGATTCATCGATGACCCTATTTACTTGGACTCTTGTATTATAAATGCGGTAGTACCTTGAAAAATCGTGTTTCTGAATCTGCGGCCTCAAAAATTCGTACATTTCCCCCGGAATTTAACATATGGAATTTGCGTAGCATGCAATGAATTATAGAAAGTGCCCTCGCGATAGTTAAGCGTCTCAGAGAAGACGCAGACGAGCATTAGAAGGCGGACAGTAGACTTAAATGTACGTGCAGTATGTACAGAGCCTAAGAACGTAACTCATGCGAATTTTGGGACATTACTGTATGGTCAGATATGAATGACGTAAGGCGATCTGTCCTAATTACGAGACAAAGGTAAATTACGTTCTACATTGGCGCTAATGAACTTAAAACCGTTACCGGCGTTTACATGGCGTCTAGCTTTCGATCGTCGAGAGGTGTAAACAATAAGGGTTAGGGACTGTTGGATAACCATTTCTGGTTCGTTTGTCATCAATCAGTGACACCCCAACTCTAGGTGCAAGTTCTGAACGCGGGTCAATTACCGCTCAGTCAGTTTTGCCTCGAACCCTCTACCACTAGAGCAACGGTCGCACATACTGTCGACAGACATCGGAATTCGCCTATACGGGTGTCCCTGACTGGTGTAGGGGTGTCCAGCTTCGAGTCCAGATGACGGTCGAAGTGGGTTGTTCGTTTGCTCGTAGGCGTAGACTACGCTTAGCGCCAATTTGCTGGTACCCAACTCTCACTTGTGGCTCCCCGAAGCTAGGCTCCGCATAGCAGCCATACCCCGGTAACAGCCTCGACCGGTGGGCTAAACCAGGTGAGGGTATCCGTATGCGCATCTCTGCACACGGCAATCTCGGGTCCGCCGGCCGGATGGACCACCGCATCGACATCTCCGAGATTAGGCTCCGTCTGGAACACCATAGGAGGCCACAAGGTAAGTGAGCCCTCAGGTAAGTGAACATTGTTCTGCTGCATTTGCTTTCGCTTGTTCTTTTCTTCTCGTTCACTGTCTGCTTGTTTGCGTTTTTCCTTATTGTAGGCTTACTTTTGTTTTGTTGAATTTGTCTACTCAACGATTGTATTTCAGCAACCAGTTAGCCTAGAGGGGGACGCGAAAGCCCTGCCTGCCGTCTCTCTACCCTCCCCCCATTCTCTCCCTCCCGCCTTAAAGTCCTAAGGCGTTGTCGCAAACAGTCCCAGGCTAACTCGGGTCGTTCTTCCACTAAACAAAAGTCATGGTCAATAGTGGAGTTCGGCAGTCGTCTAGGACAACTGGGCAGCCCTATTTAGGGAGAGCACTGCTCACCCCCGCGAGAGGAAAGGGGCTAGAAAAAGTGCCCTAAACAAATGCTGGAACCCCACGACATCTGCAGGCTGACCGTGGCTTTAGACCCAAAATTCACGGTCGAAACAACAAAATCAGAAACAACACACTTTCTCTCCCCCCTCCCCCACCCCGCTGCCCCCCTCGCCAGACTGGTAGGGTTCGTTCGCTCACTCTGGCAGCCTGGAATATTCAGTCCCTCTTACACAATCCGAGGAGTGAACGACCGGAATGGAGGACGGCACTAATGGCTCGGGGTAGGCCCGCTGCAAGGTGGACGTCGCCGCACTCAGCGGGACCTTCTTCTGCGAACAATGCCAACTGGAGGATGTTGGTGCGGGCTACATCTTCTTCTGGAGCAGTCTTTCCAAGACATAGCTACGGGATTCGGGCGTCTCCTTTGCCACCCCAGACGACATCGTGCGACGACTGCCCTGTTTGCCGCGGGACATCAACGATCGCCTGATGAGCCTTCACCTGCCTCTCCAGGAGGCAGACTTGCCACCATCGTCAGCGTCTAAGCTTCCCTGATGGCCAGCCCTGACGAGGCGAGAAACAAATTCTACGAGGACCTGAACGTCATACTGGTAAATGTGCCAAAGGCGGATAAGTTAATTTTCCTTGGTGACTTCAACACCCGCGTCGGCACAGATCATGCTATCTGAAGAGGAGTGCGGGGTCTATTGCTCTCAACGACTCTAACGACAATGGTCTGCTCCTTTTACGAACCTGCACAGGAAACCGGCTCGTCCTGAGCACTAACTTCTTCCGCCTCTAAATGCGAGCGAAAGCCATCTGAATGCTCCTTCGGTTGCGACATTGGCACCTGATGACCTATCTCCTCGTCCGCAGGCGAGGCCAGCGGAATGTGCTGATGACGAAGCCGATCCCGGGTGCTGACGAGTGGACCGACTATCGCCTCGTCATCTCCCAAATGCGGACTTGCCTACAGCCTCGCAGGAGACCTCAAAGTAGGTGACCGCCGGGTATGCCAAATATTGCTTCGTTGTTTTTGCTTGCTCACCATCTTCACTTCAGCTACTGGCTAGTTCAAAAACTAGACAACCTTCCCTCACCACCGCCGCTGCTGACGAAAACGTTTCCGTGGAGAACCGATGATGCAGACTAAGGAACACAGTCCAGTCGACGGCCCTGACTATCTTCGGTCGCGCACGTCGCCATCATCGGGACTGCTTCGACGACGACGACGACGACGACGACGACGACGAAGCCATCAGCAATCTGCTCACCATAAAGAACCGCCTGCACAAAGCCGGCGTCGACCGCCCCACCGACGGCAACAAAGCAGCCTTCTAACGTAGTCGCAGCCATGTGCAAGAGCGGCTGCGCGAGATACAGGACGCCTGGACGCGAATCGCAACGAATGAAAGAACTTCTTTGTCGCGATCAAAGCTGTCTACGGTCCGCCAACCAAAGCAACTCCACCTCTTTTCAGCGCCGACGGCACTACCCTACTCACTGAGAAGACAAAAATTCCACAGCGAGGGGCCAAGCACTGCAGAGTCGTCCTCGACTGCCTCTCCACCATCTTCGAAACCGCCATCGCCCGGTTGCCTCAAGTGGAGACCAACGCCAACCTCTACCTCCCGCCCTCTCTCCACGAAACCACCAGGGCCATGCGACAGTTCTACAGCAGGAAAGCGCCCGGATCGGACGCGGACGCGATTCCTGCTGAGATCAACAAGCACGGTGACACGCAACTCATGGATCATCTGATGGCGCTCTTTCAGGTAATGTGACATCAAGGGGAAGTCCCGTAGAATTTCAGTGACGCTACAATCGTACATCTCTATAAACGGAAAGGTAAGCTCCAGCTCTGCGATAGCCATCGAAGCATCTCCTTACTGAAAACTGCCGGGAAAGTTTTCGCTCGCATCCTCCTCAACCGCCTGAACAACTATCTGGGACAACGTTTCCTGCCGGAAAGCCAGTTTGCGGCTTTCGCCCTCATCGTGGGACCACGGACATGGTCTTCGCCCCCGCCGACTGTAAGAAAAGTGTCAGAAGATGCGGACCCACCTCTGCTCTAACTTCGTGGATCCGACGAAAGCATTTGGCACGGTGAGTCGCGAAGGGCTGTAGAAAATTATGCAGAAATTCGGCCGTCGTGAGCGATTTACTCAGATAGTGCGTCAGCTCCACGATAACATGATGACGTGAGTCACGGATAAGGGAACTGTCTCAGAGACATTCGCAGTGACCAACGGAGTGAAGCAGGACTGTGTCCTCGCGCCTGCCGTCTTCAGGCTTACTTCCCCTGCTACGCTGATGGACGCCTACTGCGACGAACGTCCCGGGATCTGCGTCGCCTACAGGACGGAAGGCCACCTCCTTAATCAGCGGCGGATGCACTTCCAGTCGCACGTATCCACAAGCACCGTCCACGAACTTCTGTATGTCATTGGCTGCGCCCTCAATGCAACTACTGAGGGAACCATACGAAGGAGCATGGATCTCTTCTCTGCCGCCTGTGACAACTTCGGCCTGGTCATTAACACGGAGAAGACGGGGATCATGCACCAACGCCACCCAACACAGGCCACAATGCGCCGTAAACCAGCGTGAATGTAACCCAAATGCCAGTGGTGGACAACTTCCCGTATCTGGGCAGCACCCTCTCCCGCAGCACCAAAATCGACGATGAAGTGACCCGCCGGATTTCTAAGGCCAGTCAAGCCTTCGGTAGTCTTCAGAACACAACTTGGAATTATCACGGTCTTCAACTCAGCACGAAAATAAAGATGTACAAGGCTGTCATCCTACCAACGTTGCTGTATGGGGCAGAGACCTGGACGGTGTACATGCAGAAGGCACGCAGACTCAACCACTTCCACCTCAGTTGTCTTCGCAGAATACTGAAGCAGAGGTGGCAGGACCGGATCCCCGACACGGATGTACTGGGGCGGACGGTAGTCCCCAGCATCTACGCTATGCTGAGACAACTACGGTCATCTCATACGGATGGACTAAGTGCGGCTACTCGAACGACTCTTCTATAAAGATTTCGCGACGAGTTCACGCCAACAAGAAGGTCAAGTCCGGCGCTGCAAGGATACTTTGGAAACCTCCCTGAAGCGCCTGCAGATCAACCCGGCAAACTAGGAAGGCCTCGCTTTGGACCGACCTACGTGGAGGAGAACAGTGAAGACAGCTTCAAAGCCAACTGCATCACCGCCGCCAAAACCAAAAGCAAAGCACGCAAATATCAACTACCGCCGCCGCCTCACAACGCCAACGCTCCACCGTCTCCAAAGTGTCTATAATATCAACAGACATTCCGGGCGCCAAATGAGTTTGCTAGACACCACCAGACCAACTGCAGCATCGGACTGCCCCAATCCTCGTCTTTCCATCAGCCTCTCCCTCGCCTTCCATGCCGATAACTAACGTTCACCACCCTCCGGAACCACCACTACCATCTTCCTCTCCCACCTCCTCCTCCGCTTCAACGTCTTGCGCTGTGGCGTCTGCCATTACTGTTAACACCAAACACAATGATGACACACCAACAAAACACCAACACCGCCACCGTCAAACACTAGTGATGAGGACCTGGTTTATACCTGTCCTCAATGCGATCGCACCTTCATCTTACATATCGGCCTTTTCGGTCACTTGCGAATTTGTCGCACCGAGACTAGCCAAATGCGTATACACGAGAGCGGAATTGAATGTAGTCTCGACACATCGAGCACACCCACCATGCCTAGACCCGCCCACACTCTGCTGCACAGCGCGCCAACCGCCACCAGCTGCATCACCCTCAGTACGTCTTGCACACTTACCATGCTCAGCCCAACCTACACACCCATCGCCCAGTGCGCCCACCACCACCGAAGCTGATGCTGACACCGCCGATTTCTCATGTTCACACTGTCCCAGTACATTCACCCCGTTCATCAGCCTGACCGGTCACTTGCGAACAAGTGTCTGGCGCAGCAGCCCACACTCGCCGTAGCCGCCTCGCTGTCCACATTGTACTCGCACATTTATTCGCTGCATGGGTCTATTATGCCACATGCGCATCCACGAAAACCTGCGGTGGCCGACCGCCGGCTGCACCACATCATCGCATCCTCCCTCATCACCATCTCACCGCACATCTACACCACCCACCACAGGCACCCAACTGCCACCTCCCACGCAGGTGGCAAGTTTGTCTCTCGGCCCCTTCTCCATGCGACACCCCTCCTGCATGTGTCATGGGAGTCTAAGACGAAGACGGTGCGTCGAACGCCGTGACTCGGAAGGCAGTCGACTGACACTTTAACTCAGTCTACGCAGTCTGCCCCGTTGTGTGTGTTGTGCGGAGTGGCGGACTGGTGGGCTGAGAGTCAGGCTATCACGGCCCCTTCGCAAGCGATCTGTGACACTCATATATGTGAGGATAGTGTTGTAATTCATGGATAGTGCCTCTTTATACACAACTGTTTGGTTATCTCACTTTGAAGGGTGACGACCCAGGCTGAATTCAGGGCCACTTGTCGCCCTTCAAGGTCAAAAGGTCTGAAAGCGTGTGCCATGCCAGTATCAGCAAACCTTGGCCCTCGCAGCCTGTTATGCGCTGGCAGTTCCCTGACATCTGGCTCCCTGCCGGCAGATGCGCTTGCGCTCCCACTGTGTATAGAGGTGGTGGACGTGACTACCCAATCATCATCCTCGTCCTTCTGACCCCTGTGGGGGTGTTGTTGTTGGTCAAAATGCTGGTCATCTGCTCTGTGGACCAGGGGTTGTGAAGTGGGACGCCAAGGCGCGGGCTCGACCTTGCCATCTACCTGCACACTTCCCGCCTCCGATCTTCTCGAATCGGTCTTGACACTGGGTCCAGGGGCGGGGGAGGAGAGAGTGCGGCAGATGCTGTGCAATTCTACACTCACTATAAACTAATTTACGCACAAGTCACAGCCCCTGCTCTCACCTTCTTGTGGAGCACACAGTGGACACCGTTGGCAGCGAAGGTCGAACTGCCGGTTCCTGCCTGAGACAGAAAGTGATACAAGTGATGGTAGCTGCTTTAATAAGTTAGCGTAACAAACGGGGGGGGGGGGGGGTTAAAATTTGCGGACCTCCAAACTGCCTCATTGGAAGAATCGTTGAAAATCGATCTTCAACTGAATCTAAAGATTTCAATCTGGGAGTGCGCATTTTGCTCCAAGACGAGTAAGCAAATTGGTCCAATCTTGCAGTCATTGATGTTATGTTGCTGGTGTATATACATCTAGCAGATCATAAGCTCAGTCAGAAGAAAGCGAATGGAATTTCAGTCGCGCTGACAAGTATCCGTACAAAATCTCCCATGTATATATTCAAAAGCATATCCCTTCCTAGATCATGCGCAATTATTATTGTAGCCGTCATGTTTACTTTTTAGAATATCAACTAAGAGCCAAAATTCCAAGCAAGATTTCCGAGTACTTTGAAGGAATAAGTCCTAAAACCGTTGCAAGTCACACCCATCTGACTCAGATAACAGGGTTAAAGTCAGACGAGAGGGTGTGACGGAGGTAGTTGATGAAGAAAAAAACTTCAAGAACCAAGTGAGTTGGATATCCAAACATGTGATTTGTCGAATTTCTGACGTAATAAGGTGCGGTAAAATCCATCACTTACGCAATTAGGTGCAGACTAAGATTTGAATACGTAATTCGACGTTTTTTCGAAACAAAAACGAAATCCAGAAACAAATGTATTCAAACATACAAATACAGATAACCAACGTTTTGGCAGTTATAGCATCAAGAAGGTTTCCGACTGGAATGAGCCACATTTGCGTTTTGGGTATATAACTTTCCGCGGACAGCAGATGTATATTCGTCTCAAAAATCAGTGTATCCTCAGAAAGCGATGGGTGATAATCACATATCTGTCTTATTATTTCCCCTGTAATATTATCAGGCTGGATGAAAGCGGAAGCCGATTTCAGTCTTACCAACTTACATAATTGCACAAATAAGCAACCTGATCTGCCACTACAAATTACTCCTGATCTACACCCCATTATGTCTAGCCAATTACTTAAAAATTCCGCCAAGAAGCGAAAATGCTTTCGTCGGGATTTCGGCCACACCCTGACCAGAATGTCTAGGTGAGTAGTTTTACTTTCAGCTTTTTCAGTTACCTCAAAAGCGTAAAATTCGCACAAGAGTACGCTATTAAATCCAACGCTGTTATTGCTAAGCTATTTATGCTAAAAATTGTCTTATCCCTAAAGCTAGGCCAATCGGCTGAAAATGCTGCAAAGTGCGTACATTGAACACATACATCGTAACAATTTAACTTCTTGATCCCTCGACGCCGGCAGGCTATGCATGGCCTAAGGAGTACTAAAACAACGCGTAGGACCACGCAATGCTGAGAGAATATTGTGAGTGTCAGTTCTAGAATCTCATCCCGCACGTTGTCTGAGCACATCTTGAGATGTCCTTATATGCTTTACTGCAGCCTTGTTAGGTTAAAAGAGTTTGGGAATCGTCTGCAATTCATAGACAGTCACCACGACAAGGAAACAACCGCAGGCGTCTGGGTGACAGAGGTTCACAAAGTGTTGCCAGTGTGAAACCCTGATGATAACGACGACGGCGTGTCAGTCAGTCAGTCCTATAATCAAAAGCAGAAAATCGACAAAACGACCTTACTACAAAGAGTGAGCAAACTGGGGCATTTTTAGCGGCGAGAAAAGACGCACGAGAGTGACATAAAGATATGTCCGACATACGGCATATGTTCTACCCCCTGAAATGTTAAGCGGAATTCTGCAATGCGTTTTCAGCTCGGAAGGACCAATTGAGTATAATTGTCAGGCTAATTACCTTGTCGTTTAATGCCGAATTATTCCAGTCACGTCAGGAGGCCGGCTTTCAAATGTGTTTCTTGTCGACCATTTTCATGGACTATATTCTGTAAAAAATGACTGCTTATGTTGCACTTATTTACTTCATCGATTTTCGACACCCTTATAAATTCAAAAATATATTTGCAGAAAACATTCACAAAACATTCTTTCTTTTACTCATTTGAAGAAACCTGCGCCTTCTTTAAATTGAATTCTTTCAGAAGGAGTATCATTCGGTTTTGAAAAAAAGTTTGCTGTTATCAGACGTTTTAAGAACGTGAAATGTCCATCCATACAGCATCGCATCTATATTTTTGTTAATGTTGCTTATAAAATAGGCAACGTGGTCCGCATCGTTGACAAAATTTTGAGTCCTATATGACTTCTTCTTCTTAATGGCATTTTGAAATGTGTGGTTTTTCTTACACAGAAAGTATACAGCTTGTAGTTTGGGAACCCGGAATGTAAGTTTGACAGCAGGTCGGGTTCAAAAGCACTCGGCAATTTAGAAATTATTTAAAGTCAAATGATACTCTTTTTTTTCAAATATATACTCAGAGGAAGGCTTAATTTGCCAGCAAAGGAGAAAAAAAGAACATTTTGCATTTGTTTTCAATCAAATATATTCGAACTTATAAGGGTAACAAAAACGAACGTGACAAATCTAAGCTAATTAAGTAGCCATTTTCATTGAATTTTATTCATGTAGGCGGTCGATAAGAAGCTCGTTTGA